GTTTTGATTTGAATTTGCTTATGAGCATATGATTGCTGTTCTACATTTGACCAATGGCCTTGTTCTGACTGTTGATAACCAAGTTTCTTCATCTTCTCTTATAGCAAGTCAAAAGATGTTGGTTTGATTCCTATGTATTCTATCAGGTGAGGGCCATCTCTGGCTGCAATTTCTATCACCAAGTCGTATATTCCAACAACCAATTGATTCTTCTTATTTATAACTTTTGCATTCCTATCACTAGATATTAATGCATCTTGATTACATGCTGGATCAATTTCAGACTGCATAAGTTGGTAGAAGTTCTCAATTTCATCATCTTTGGCTTTAGTGGTTGGTATCTATATTTTAAAAATGGTTGTAATAATAGGATTACTATCAGGGTGTATGCATATAAATATTTATTACTAACATTCTTAATTTCAACATAGATCCTGAAATTTATTTCCTGGTGGATGCAAGTCCATTCCTCTTCAGTAAGTCATACCAAGCAGGCACAGTAGATGATATAATTTTCTAATACAGAGTGGCCATTTCAACTACTATTGTCTAGAATATAGATTTTTATGAATTCCATTTCACCTCTGACGTCCAAGTTATGAATGTAGATTCATGCATCATATATTCCAACTATTAATGGTTGTTTACAATAGTTTCTCTTCATTCTGGGTTATGCCACATAAGTAAATGAAGTTCTTTTGTCTGCTATATGCTGTAAGTTTTACTTGATCCACTTTTTTTAAAAATTATTTTTTTGTGTGTGTGTATACCATCAAATCGGACCTGACTGGTACAAGAGGAGATTGCACCTCCTTCTCAGGCAGAGCATCTGGTGGATTCGAACGGCATATCCCTGGGATTCCAGTGCAACTTCTTGCCTCTTGGCCACCAGAGCTCCCTCACTTTATCCACTTTTGTAAGGCAGATTCTACTCTAAGGAGGGAGCTCTCTGTCAGTCACATTTTTAATACTTTCTAACTTGAGGGCCTCATCTTCCACGCTGATTTCTGTCAATGTTCTATTGTTATTGACAGGATTGTCAATGGACCCTTTTTCAAAGATGAATGGCCAGTGACGCTTCCTATTCTTAGTTTGGAAGGTCTACTGGAACTTGTCCACCATAGGTATATACTGGTGGTATTGCTTCCAATATCTCCATGAAATTCAAGCTACTACAGAATAAATAAGGGTAGAAATAGGTTATTCAACTCTGATATTCAGAAGTAGATGGAGCATCAGAAATACATACTGAAAACCAGACCATGGCAATAAGAGTAAAAAGGTAAATGTGGTATTGCAGATGGCAAGGAAGAAAGTGTTTCAAGAAAGGAGTGATATACTGTTACATGCAACTAGAAGAAAACATCTTGTAAGATAGAAACCAAAAAGGAGCCTTAAGATTTAGTATGATGGAGGCCACGGATAACTTTGATGGAAAGTTTCAATGGAAAAAGAAATTGAACACTTAAAGGTAATAAACTGAAGGAATATATTAAGAAAAAAATTGAGATACTGTATGTAAATAATTCTTTGAAGAACTTTAGTATAAAAAGGAGGAGCTCTGCTGGCCTAGTGGGTAGGGAGCTGCATTGCCAACCCAAAGCCAGGCAGGTTGAACCCACCAGCTGCTCCTCAGAAGAAAGGTAGGCAATCTCTTCCCATGAGATTTATAGCCTCCGAAAACCAAGTGGAGGGTCAGCTATGAGTTAGTCTCAGCTCAAGGGCACAAATCAGGGGTATAAAAAGAGTAGACATAGAAGGCAGTAGCTAGAAGTAAATGTGGAATAGTCAAGTGAAGATTTTTAATATGTTTATGTTGTTGTTGTTGTTTTTATGTGCCGTCAAGTCGCTTGCGACTCACAGCGACCCTATGTACAGCAGCCCTAAACTCTGCTCTGTCCTGTGCCAATCGCACTGTCTCTGATACACCAATCCCAATTACCCCAGTCACTGAATCAATCCACCTCATAGAGGGCCTTCACCTCCTGCGCTGTCCCTCCACCCTCCCAAGCATGAAGTCCCTCTCCAAGGACCAGTCCCTCCTTACAACATGTCCAAGGTATGTTAGACAGAATCTCAGAATCCTTGCCTCCAAGGAGCCGCCCGGTTTAACCCTTTCCAGGACAAATCTGTTTGTTTTCCTAGCAGTCCATGGTACCCTCAATACTCTTCTCCAGCACCACAACTCAAAGGCATCAATTCTCCTTCTATCCTCCTTGGTCATTGTCCAACTCTCTGATGCATAACAAGTGATTGCGAAGACCATGGCCTGTATCAGACGCACCTTAGTCTCCAGAGAGACACCACTGCTCTTCAGTACTTTGGAGAGGTCCCTAACAGCAGACTTTCCCATGGCAATACGTCTTTTAATTTCCTGGCTACTGGTGCCAAGAGTGTTGACTGTGGAGCCAAGAAAACTAAAGCTGTAAACAATCTCAATCTCTTCACCATTTTTAGTATAAGGGCTAAAAATAGAAAATAATTGAGGATAGCCAAAAGAAGTATCTCAGCAAAAAAAGATACCGATCCAAGAGAAGAAGTACAGTCCTTGACAAGCTGGAAAGAAAATTGCACTGTATACCCATTGACAGGAACAGATCCACTTTTCCTGAACACTACTGAGGATGGGACAGAAAGACTGAATAGTAAGAATATGACTTTATTTCATTCTAATTTCACAAAGAAAAATGAAAGAAAGAAATCAGCTAGGGTGCAAGTAAGTGAAAAAGAGAATGTTGAAAGTATGAGGAAAGACATGAAGATAAGAAGAGCTATGGCATATGGTAAAGAACAGCATCTTGAGAGGTGGCTCTGCTGCAGTGCTGAGTGGCCACTGACACTTGTGATCATGATTTTCTTCATTATCATCAAGTAAGTTACTCTGATGTAGGCAAAGAGAAGTAATATAATTAATTCAATCACAGCACTTTTCTGGGCAAGTTGTCATCTTTCCAGTGTCTTTTTTCTTTACACTATGAAAAGTAAAAGAGGAAATATCAAGGATATGAAGGAGAGGCAAGATACTTACAAGAAGAGTCATCTACAGGAAGGCAAACAGACAAAAGCAGAGACTTCCTTTTTTTCTCCTAGCTTTTACATAAGGCAAGAATAGAAAGCATGGCTCAAAGTTACCCCTAGCTACTATATTTAGCCAGTGCACTTTTACTACCCACAAACCCATCTGTACGTAGGCTATAGTAAGTACAGAAAAGACTGGGGGTAAAAATTAAGTCTTTACATTGAAACCCTGAACTCTGAGATAATGGAAGACCTATACTTTACCAAAACAACTAAGAGAAAATAACCTTTATATCTCATATCTAACATCAAATTTTCTTGGAATACTCTAATATAATTTAGTCTATGAAAATTAATAATCACAGTTAAAAAGACTTAATTTCTCTGAAAAACTAAAATGTGAAGATGCTAAATAATGTCCAAACAATGATACAATCATCATAAAATGGGTTTAAAATCTGCTTCAATGAGTCAAATATCTAGTGTCTCATAATTACATTGATTATTAAAAAGAGATTTAGCAAACTGAAATATAGTATTATAATGTGTTAAATATCTATCTTGAAAAAAATATGAAACTATAAATCAAGTATGTACTTTACTCAGAGGTGTAGAAGAGGAATTAGTTAAAAGCTGGATTCTGGTACAAGCTAGAGATTCTTACTTTTCTTATAAATTACAATTCTTAAAAAAGATGCTATCATTTTTAACATTCTCCCTTTCAGTAATTTATTTGCTCTGAAAAGTAAAGTTTGAATTAAAATTTCCCTTATTTCACAGATCTTCAAAATACTTTATTTTCCCTAAAGTTGAAATGTTATGGTGACTAGAGTATGGAAAAGCTAATTTTGCACTTCAGCTATAGTTTATTACTACGGATAAAATGTACAGAAATGTGAACAGTTATACAATTGATTCTGGCCTCTATTCCAATAGAAACTACTGAATTACCAACAATGGAATATACTGACAAAAGAATGCTTAATTTAAAATATTCCAAATTTGGTGATCTGATTCCTGTTTCTACAGAAGGAAGAATAAAGTGACAGCATAGCAATTAAACTGTTAGGTATTTTTTAAGGTTTTAGCTTAGGCCTGCCAGCCAAATCACTAACTGCTAATAATTTTATTACATATGTCAAATAAAATGCATCTTATGAAGAGTTCAAAGAGATATCTTACTGATCACTAGAATTATCTATCATTAATTATAAACATAAAGATATATCTTACTGATTACTAGAATTATCTATCATGAAGTATAAACAGGTTTGCTCAAAAATATTATCATAAATATTAGTATATTCCACAGTTTGGGAGAAGCTGAATACAAAAAGTTAAAACATTGGTAGAAAAATAAGTGATATTTTGACAGAATTTAGAAACTGATTTTCACTGATGAAAGTACCAAGAAAATAAATATTGGCAAAATAATTTTCTGATGTACCTATACAGGAGAAATAATTATTTAATTTTATACTGTTAAGTGGAAAAAATTAAACAAAACACCAACATACGGAATCTACCATACAGAACGTAATAAAAATATTTCATGATTTGAGAAAAAATAATCAAGACTACAAGCACACTGAAACTAGTAATAATCATCTATGTTAAGCTTCTAATGCAAATACTTGTTTAATGCTAAAAAAGCCTATATATATGTATTTTTTGTTAGAATGATATATAATGGCATAAAATAACCTTTAAATCAAACACATTAAACTATGTCAAAACATTATCTGTTGGAATCAATATATTTTTCAAAGAACTGATTTATGTAAATTGAAGGTTCCTACTATATATTAAAATTCATACACGTTAGGCACGTTTGAACTTTGTGTTAAAGTTACATTCATCTTGGTTTGTTAATGTAGGAAGGCTTTGATGTGACTCCATATTGTTCAAAACAGTCCATAAAGAACTTTTAATTTAGAAATCATCACATGAACCACCGACTATTTCAAGAATAGCATCCTCACCAGACTGATGATGTGTGTGGTGCCCAGAAGCCTCCACAGACTGTCTCTGCTCATGGTCTGGAGAAGATAGCAAAGTAGACTGAGGGCTTTCTGTAGACGGTGCTGCTGAATGAGCCTGGGCGGACGCTGAAGAGGATGTAGACGGCTGAGGAAACGGCTCAGCTGGAGCTTCAACTTCCATAGCTGTTTCACCTACTTCCAAATCAGTACTTGAAGGGACGGTAGGAAGAGTGGAAACCTCAGACTGACTTGTTCCACCTTCAAAAAAACATGTTGATGCAAATTCAAATTTTAAAACTGTTTCAAAATTAATTACTTTAAAAAGATAAGTGCAAGTAACACATATATACAGATAAACATACACACAAACAAACTATAAAAACTTAGAATATCGAAGGCGCCCATGGGCAATTTGACCCAGCAGTTAATCAATAAGAGTGCGGAGTGGGAAATTATAGCAGCTTTTGAGTTTTGCCTTAGTAATGTCTAGTCTGCTCTAATAGCTGTATAACAGAATCAATGGTTTATATTGCTGTATCCCCACAAACTGCCCTGGGAAATATTTGACAAAATTTTGATTGGCTTTATCTCACTAAACCCAACTGTTCTAAACTGTTCTAAAAAGCTAGAGAAAGGTTTATATATGGAAAGAATCATTCTCGTACATATATTTACCAGGAAGGAAATGGGGGAGGGGTGGTAGAAAATGAATTACTGGACAACTATATTAATAAGATAGGTGAAAGGGAAAATAATATGGAATGAATGGAGAGTCAAACATCATATATATAGTAATTGATGTAATGTAACAAAATGTGCATTAACGATTTAAAAACAAATGCCCCCCATTATTCACTGTTGGTGGGAGTGTAAAATGGTGCAACCACTGTGGAAAGCGGTGTGGCGCTTTCTCAAAAAGTTGCAAATAGAGATACCATTTGACCCAGCAATTCCACTACTGGGAATATACCCCCAAGAGACCATAAATGACATCCAAGCAGATATCGGCACACCCATGTTTGTTGCGGCTTTCTTCACAATAGCAAGGAGTTGGAAATAACCTAAGTGCCCATCAACAAAGGAATGGATAGAGAAGCTGTGGTATATTCACACAATGGAATACTACGCTGCTTTGAAAAACAAGGAACTCATGCAATATTATTCAAAATAGGTGACCCTGGAGGACATTATGCTGAGTGAAATATCTCAGTCACAAAGGGACAAATATTATATGGTGCCAGTGTTGTAGAATGAGGCTGACACTGGGGTGGGGGGTAAGACTGAGAAAAACTGGATAAATTATGTTTACTGCATTGAAGCTGATGAGAGAATAGTTTTAAATTAATATATTTTAGGGCATTAGGATTATCATAAGAGTCCAGAATGAGGGTTGCAGAGTGGAGTATTCTTGGGATGGGAGTAGGGATGTGCGGGCTGGGGGTGGGGGATTGTGTACCAATGAAGGAGTTTTGCTTTTCAAGGAGAGGAGCGAACTGGGGGTGGGGGTGGGGGTGAGTAGGTGGGGAGAAAAGTGCAACAATGAATGAATGGAATTCCAAAATCTCTGTAGATGTTCATTGAAATTAATAATAATATTAAAATGAAAAAAATCCAAATGCCCCCCAAATGCTATGTAAACTTTCACTTAAATTACACATATAAAAGTTATATTTTAAAAGTTTGATTGAAGTTATGAGCAAGAATATAGCTACAAACAGGCCAGAAAAAACCAAGTTTCTGATTCATTAGTAATTATTTAAAAACTAATATAAAATTATCTTCTCCAAGTTTAAAAGGTATCTACTGATATGCCAAGCCCTGCAGTAGCAGTAGAGAACTAATTAAGAAAAGTTAGTATTAAAAAATCTGTCTAGTTTTGTTTCAAGTCTAGATCATATAATAAAAATGAGCTAAGCTAGTAAATAAAGTCAATGTGTTTTAAGATGCAGAGTATAAAAATATTTCTATTATAAATCATTTTAATAAGGGAGCTCTGGCGGCCTAGTGGCAAGAAGCTGCACTGCAATCCCGAAGGTACATGGTTTGAATCCATCAAATGCTCTGCTGGAGAAGGAGGGGCAATCTCCTCCTGTGCCAGTCAGATCTGATTCACCAGCACAAAACAAGTTAATTTTTAAAAAAATCACTTTAATGATTTTTTTTAATCAAGAGGGTAATTTCCTGGTACAAACTTAAGTACAAATTTGCTAATTCTTTTTTTTTAATAAAATTTTTATTTTGTACTGCTTTTCTTACAAAGTTTTATAAATTGTTTTTCATTCTAGATCTTTCCCATTCAAATTTGCTAATTCTTAAATTGATTGTAGAATTTTTTTAAAGTTAAGTAATATATAGGAGTTAAGAGCAATTTGTTAATGAAATTCAATCAAGTTTTTCTTTAAATTCTGACTTTGAGAATACTGTCATGTGGCTGAACACTAATGATATTAGTCATATATTAAATACTTATTGAAAACATTATTAAGAAGAAGCTAAACTTATAATCCTCATTTTTGATAGATAGGTAACTTGTCAACAGCCAAGATTCAAAATAATGTCAGTCTGAGCCCAAAACCAATAATAAGCAATCAAAAGAAATAAAACGTGCTTATCTACAGAATTTTATGTATGTCCATTCTCAGAGTACATACAAAAGAAAATGGGGTGTGAAAGTTTCTACAAGTTGCTGTTTCTTGGGTTTGTTTTTTTTTTGGTAACTGCCTTTTACAACCTTAGACGTACTACTGGGCACACTCAGCGAGAAGTTAGCTGAAGAAAGGTGGTCGTATCCTCAAGAAAAACAGGGGTGCTTTCCTGAGACCTCATAAGACCCAGGAGCAGCTTTGAAGGCTTTATTAACGAGAAATTCAAGTCCTTGAGAGCTTGTAGAAAATAGAGACTACAGAGAAGGTACTGTCCTTTAGTATTTGTAGAGAACAGAGATAAACTCTTCTTGTCTTTGTGGAAACTATCTAAGTAAATAATTAAAAGTCCTGGTTCCTGTATGACCAAAGACGCATTCCTTTCTGGCTCCAGTTAGGTATATTATTTTATGTTCTCTGAGATAATTGTTTGCTGTGTGGTAAGAAGCCTGGTTATTTTGAGAGTAGTGGAATGTTTTGTTTCTTTCCATATATGCTGAAGAAGAATAAAATCTTTGATTTTCATTCCAATCCCGAGTCCCCAGAGCTTTGCTTCTTCTCTCTCTGTTCTTCCTTTAAGAAGGGTCACTTCCTTAGTCTCAGTAGAGAAAACCAGCAACACTACAGAATCCCAGACTCTTCACTTTTTAAAAAATGCTAAGAGGTAAGGATGAAGTTGAGTGAAACCAAGGGAATAAACTGTGATAAATATCTTTTGTTCTTTATGGCTTTACATACTCTAAGAGAATCTTGTGAGTACTGTAATAATAGACTTGATTTAATGATGTAATTATATGCAACAGTAAAACTGGGATAAATGGTTTTTACTATATTTCAATTAACTTTATTTAAAAAAAATTACCTCTCCCGCGAGATCTTCCTTGTCCTCTATTGCTCTGTGCAACTTCACTTGCTTCCTCAAACCACCGTGATAGCATATCAGACATTCTCTGCATCAAGGACACATTGGGGCTTTGCTCTCCTATGACAAAAGAGTTCTAATCAGTGCCTTTAGTATTGCAGTATATTACCTTAATGCAAAAATTCTGATTAGAAGGCTTTCAAAATGAATTATATGTATACAAATATATTAATATATATATACAAATATATTAAAACTATCATCACATTATATAGTATTTATTTGAGTGATTCTCCAACTTAACTGGGAGCTCGTCAAGAACAGGGCTCAACTTTCCTTCATCTCTGCTTATTTTTAGAAATTCCCTCTTGAACTCTTGCTCCTGAGAAACTCTGGTGGCCTAGTCTATAGCAAGTGGCACTGTAAAGGAAAGACTGCCTCTCTGGCAATTTGGATTCAGCCAAGGTTCTGCAGGAGAAAGATCCTGTACAATTTATGGCTTCGGAAATCCATTTTCCACTTGGATGGTCAGCTCTGAGTTAGTTCCAACTTGATGGCAATGAATTTGAGTTTTGTTTTGTTTTCTAAACTTTTACTCCATTCCACATCTTTAGGTAAAAAATATCAATTTGGAGTATTCATGAATGAAATACTGAATAGAAAAGAAAGGTCTATGCTTTCACTGAAGCACTATCATTAAGCACATTTAATGATAATGTAAAAACAAAATTAAAATATTAGCTTTGTTTTTACATCAAATTTTTTTAAACTGAATTTACTTTCATTATAACTCACTATAAGCAAATCCATATATTTGAAACTGAAACCAAAAAGTTACTTGTCTCTCTTCATTTCTTTTTACTTCAAGTAAATGAGTTTTTTCTTCAAAACATAGTTTAAATTAAGTGTATGGCATCTGATTAAAGTATCACAACTATATTCTATAATAATTTTGTTATTTTAAAATAAATATTTATGTTCTTACATTTTCTGTGAAGTCAGACCTAAATGTTGTACTTGATTACTTTTAAAAAAATTTTTTTTATTTTATTTTTATTATTTTGTGTGCGTGTACCGTCAAATCAGATCTGACTGGTACAGGAGGAGATTTTTTTCCTCCTTCTCCAGCAGAGCATCTGGTGGATTCAAACCATGTACTTCTAGGATTGCAGTGCAGCTTCTTGCCCCTAGGCCACCAGAGCTCGCCATACTTGATTACTTTTATGTAATGTGGCGGATATTGAAATCCTCTTAGTTTTAGTTTAAAAATACAAAGGAAAAAATATTGCAGAGTATGCTTTTGAACTTACAAGGGTTTTTGGAGTCATGAGAATAAGATTTTGGTTACAGATTAATAAAAGATATACCAATAAATTCTATTTCAAAATATGCCATCTTAAAACTCCCAATGTACAGTAAAACCTAAGAAAGTCCTAACTTGTGTAGGTTGAAAACTATTAGAGAAGGAAAACTCAAATATTTTCTGCTAAAGTGAGTGATAGAAAAATTAGGTCTGTATCCAGTGAAAGAGAGAACACTTTTAAGACTGGAAGAACAAGGCAGTTCCATTGAGTGCCAATTCTAATAGGTTTCACTTAAGTTTTCTTTAAGCTTTTCAAATTCGGCAGTTAAAAAAATAAAAAACAAACAACCCAACAAAATAACAAGAACAAAACAAACAAAATTATGTGCTGTTATAAACTCTTAGTGGTCCCTTGGGCGTTAAAAAGGCTGACAGTTCAAACCAACCAGCAGCACCAAAATAGGAAGGCTTGGTGACATGTGTTTGTAAAGAAGTGCTGTTACATGCTAATGACTTGTTTCAAACTCAGAATGATCTACATGACAGGGCAGAAGTGCCCCATAGGGTGTCCTACATTGCAGTCTTTACAGGATCAGGCTACCAAATATTTTTCTCATGCAGAGCAGCTGCTGACTTGGACCCACAGACCTTCTGGCTAAGAGTCAAGTGTATAAAACTATCATACCATCAGGGCTCCTTCTCTATAAAGTTTCAAACCAAGACCTATGGAGCTCAGTTCTGTACTGTAACCCATGGAGTTGCCATGAGTGAGAACAATAGGCTTGGTTTTGTTGTTTTATTTGTTGACCTGGATATCAAACTGTTTTCATTTGCTATCTAATAAAAAAGGTAAACCTTAAGAATACCTTGAGAATAACCTCTGTTCTATAGAGCAAAAGCATTCTAAAACTCTCAATGGGAATATAAATTCATCTCTACCAAACCCAATCAAGTGCTGCAAAATGGAGTCCCGCTCAAAGTGAACTTCCACCAGGATTCCAAGTCTACAAACCTTTAGGGTTGGAAGTTGACCATCACAGATAGCACTACAAACTTTCAGTTAGCAGCATAACACGTAATGCACCATGCCATTAGAGTTCCTTACAAATTAGTACATATTAATATAAATCACTGAGGGAGCTCCAGTGATTCAGTGGTAAAGAACTTCACTGCCAACTCAAAGGTATGTGGTTCAGATTCAACAACTGCTCTGTGGCAGAAAGATGGGCAATGCCCTCACATGCGATTTACTCCTCTGAAAATCCTCTGGAGGGTCAGCTATGAATTGGCTCCAACTTCAGAGTACACAGTAACAAAAATATAAATCAATGTATGTAAATCTCCTAACTGTAGAAGTAAAACAAAAAAAAAATTATACAGTGGACAATCAATCACTCCATTTCCAGAAATTCATCTGAAGAGATAATAGCACAAGTATATTAGGTATAAAAGTAATAAAAAAAATGTTCATCTCAGAATATTAATAGTGTAAATAAGTTTAAAAGCATTCATTTTTCAATACTATACACACACACACACAAAAAAATAAAACAAAACAAACAAACAGAAAAAACAAAACACAAAACCCTTTGCTGCCTAAAGTATACTTACCATCGCGTTCTCGTTCACTCTCTGGTCTTGCTCTAGGCCCAGTATCTGACCAATCACCACGAAGTCTCAAACGCTTTACAGGAGGCTGTCGTAACTGAAAGATAAGCAAAGATGTGGTAAATTCCACATAAGTATAAAAGATCACTCTCACTCTCAATTATTAAACACACTTAAAATCTAGTAGATTATTTCCATCTCCTTATGGTCTTTATGGAGTATGCAACTGAGCTGTCAGCTCAAAATACTTGAGACACAGATGTTAAATAAACTTATACAGAATATTCATAAGGACAATAAATATCCACCAATGTTAACAGCGTATACTTTAGATATTCAATCTCAAGTGTCTGAATTCAAGTTTGCAACCAGGGATGTATGATTTCAAATACTTTTATCACTTTCAATCCCCAACAGAAGAAAAGTAATTTAACCACACTGAGACTCAGTTTTCTAGTGGAATTGATAAATGTAGTCTAGGTAAAAACTTAAGTGCCTGAATGACAACGTATTTATCACTCTTTTTATTATTATTGACAATTCACTCTCTTGTGGCCCTCACTATCTAGTCCAACACTTTACTACATTCCTTAAGCTTTCTTTACTGTCCTCCTTTCTCACTTAATAACTTCTACTTTAGAGAAAAATCAAGATGACCGTGCAGAAGAACCTTCAGCACAAACCTGATTTCCCATCTACAGCTGGAACTCTTCCAGACTTTTCTCAGGAATGTATCCCTTATCCTGTTCATCCCTGATCACTCCCTCTGTGTTTTTAAATGTAATCCTTCATTTCCTTAGGCATCTTGCTTCATACTGTTTCTCTTGTTTCTTTCTTGTAAACATACCAAAATTTCTTGACATTTTAAACAAACACCTTCAATTATATATGCCTCTTCAGTTATAGACCCTTTCTTTTGCCAATCTTTTCTTGTCAAACTTCTTGAGAAATCTATAATTACCTAACATTCCTCCTTCAATCTACTGCCACTAATCTTTGACTCATCTGTTCAGTGAAGTAATTCCTTCAGATCATCTATGATTGTCAAATCTACTAAGCAATGATAAAAATTACCAATAACACAACTGATAATCAATTGACACGTCAAACTGCACTTTCTAAAGCTTATTTTATCTACTCATGGCAGCTGACCTGTTTAATCACTTATACATTTTTAATTGATATACACACCCCAAATCTCACACTTTTAAGAGTGTTCAAGTTTTGGCTTTGTTTATACTCACAATGTTATGCAAATATTACCACTATCCAACGGCAGAACATTCTTATCAACCTAAATAAGGAATCCTGTAACCATCAGCAGCCTCCGTCCCCAGCTTCCCTCTACCCTGGATCCCCCTTAGCCCCACACCTGAGCCCTGGTAACCACTAATCTAATTTTGGTCTCTGCACTGACAACCCAAAGGCCTAAGGTTTGAATATACTAGCTGCTCTGTGTAGAAAGATAGGTAAGCTCCTCCTGTGTGATTAACTGCCTCTGCAAACCTGAACGCGGATCAGCTATGGGCCTTTTCCAACTTGACGGTACACAACAAAAACAACCTTAAGTTACCTATTCTGTTTTGTTCACGCAGAATCATACCATATGTGTTATTTATGTATCTGGTTTCTTTCACCTGGCATAATATTTTTGAGACTTATCCATGTTGTACTGTGTTGTCGTTGTGGACCTTCGAGTCAGAACTGATCCACAGGTGCTGATAAACATGGGGACAGTCATAAATTTGATAATTTTTTTTCCTAGAAACTATCAAACAACAAAAAGAATACAAAAGATCTGCATCTTCAGCAATAATAGAAGGAAAATCCCACAAATTCCGTATTCTATGTAAATATGGACAATAGCAACTGAGAACAACAAATGCATAGGAAACATAAGTGTCATATGTAACACCTAAAAGTACACAGGAAGCCTAGTGTGACAGTTAGTAAACTTAAAAAAAAAAACAGTAATTCCAGGAAGGAGAGGATCTCAACCTGAGTACGGACTATACTTCACAACAAGATGTAGCCCCTCTGAACACAGTTACTGTAGAAAAGGAATTTCTATATTATGTAGGAAAAACTATTATTATATAATCTTTTAGCAATTATTTCTTGAACTATTCCTACAAATTAAATGTCTTAAATCTGAATGAATCATATGAAATAACCTAGCCAAAAATTCTATAAATGATAAAGCATTTATCTATTTTTTTCACTTTTTAAAAAGTTTTGTGGCATATATACTCCTTTAGCAACTTTTAAGTGTCAGGCACAAGTGTAGAAATTGAGGAAAGAGAACTTAATAAAAGACAGCGAAATTCCCAGTTCCATACTTTATAATCTAGTAGGAAATACAACATATTAAAAAAAGTAATTTATACTTAGAAATTGTTAAGTGCTACAATAATAGAAAAAGGTTATTCCCATTTTCTTTTTCTCTTTGTAACACGTAACTTTCTACAGAGAAATTTTCCATGTGATTTTAATAAAATGCTAAGGGAGGACCTCATTCACATGATATAAACAAATACCTGAAATAGGTCAGGGAAGAATAAAAATTCTGGTATCTTGGGGGGGGGGAAAATCTTTCAAGCAGAGTATACAGAAAAGACAGCAAAGCTTCATCTCACATACTCTGGGCATGTTGCTAGGATAGGCTACTCTGCGAAGAGGAACAGATTACGACTCTATCGTAGCTGGCGCTATCTCAAGCCTACTGTTGCAGTCACTGTATCCATTCATCTTGCTCAGAGTCTTCCTCTCATTCCCTCTGACTCTTCCTTTCCCAGTCTTCTTTTTCCAAGAATGGGAGCTTCATGACAGCAAGCCCAATGTATTTGAGGCAAAGTTTCCTCATCCTTTCCTCTAAGGAGCACTCTGGTTTTACTTTTTCCAAGACAATTTTTGGGGGGTTCTTTTGGCAGTCCATGGCATAATTCAATACTCTTCACCAACACCACCATTCATCAACTCTTTGATGAATTTGATTCCTTATTCATCATCAGAATGTATTGGCTAACTAAATATACTGCCATAAAGTTGATTTCAACTTAGAATGACCCTGTAAAACCCAGCAGAACTTCCCACATGATTCCCAACTCTGTAAAATGTTTACAGAAGCAGACTGCCACCTAATGCTCCCTGCAAACATCTAGTAGGATGGAAGCACTGGGCATTTGGCAAACGGTAAGCTCTTATCCACAGGTCCCAAAGACTCTTGAGTATACAGGAAGCACTCAATAGATACTTTGCAAATTGAGAAATACTTGTTTGCATAATTATAAATATTTCAGTAGAAAATAGTGAAAAATAGGTTGGTGGGATAAAAAGAGAGGCAGATTAGTAACTTATTTACACCTCTGAATTGCTTGTTACATTAAACATAATTTATTTTTATAAATTTATTCGATTTTTTATAATTACTTTTCTTAGTTATTTCACACTGGGGAGGGGGTGAAACCTTTCAGGAGAACATGAAAAAAAAAATCACTGTTCATAAAACCTATTTCCTTCACTCCAATTATGTCTTCCCTCTAAGTATTCTGTGCTGTCAAAGGTAGTTGGCCCACATTAAATACGTGTGAATTTCCAACTCTCTGATTATTTAACAGTCATAAAGCTTGACTGTAACTATTTAAAACAAAAAAATCCACTGCAAGTTGATGCCTACTCAGGGCAACCCTCCATCAGGTCATGGAAGCTGTACATTTTTGTTCAATGAAACTAAGCATCTTCTCCCACAGAACAGTTAGGAGATTCTACCACCAACCTTTAGTTAGAAACTCGATCCACTATGCAATAAGCTACCAGAGTTCCTTGTAAATTTCTTAAACACATATGATAAAGGGAAACTATAAGCAACAACAGGATGATACAGCAGGCTTATTTTTTCAAGTTGGCCAATAAAGTGATAAGTAGCTATAATTATATTTTATTGCTTCTCTAACCAGGCTGCTTCTTGGAGGCAAGAATTCTGAAGCTTCATCTACTTTGGGCATGTTGCAAGGAGTGACCAGTCCTTGGAGAGCGCTATCATGCGTGAGAGGGTAGAAGGACGGTGCAAGAGGGGAAGATCTTTGATGAAATGGATTGATTCAGTGACTGGGTTAAGGGAGGTGGGTGTGTCAGAGACAAGAGGGTTGGCACAGGACAGAGCAGGGTTCAGAGCTGTTGTACACAGGGTTGCTATGAGTCACAGGTGACTCAATGGCACATAACAACACCATTAACACATACAAATAATGCCCACATTTCAAAATCCTAAACATTGTTTACATAATCTTGATTTTTGACCCCTAATTTTACAGCCCTCTGAACACAGAAGAAATGAATTTAGAATTACAAAAACAGTCAATGTTCTTGTTGGGTGCCATTGTGTTGACTGTAACTCACAGTGAGCCTATGACCCTTGCCCTATCGTGGGTCATCTCTACCACCTTCAAGCCTACTGCTGTACTCACTGTGCATCTTATTGAGCATTTGTGCTCTTTAGTAACCTTAAAGCATTGAGTCAATACCAAAAGTCATGAATAATTAATAAAAATCAATCATTAAACCTCAAATGACATTTATAAACCAGAGCATATTTATTAGATAAAGAACAAACTAATGGGAAAAAATTGAAAACATGTCAGAGTAAAATATTTAACAGTTTACAGTAAAGGGGGTTTTTAGCTACTAGTTAAGTACATTTAAAGATAGATTTGAGTTCTGCCACTTACAAATAAAAATGTAACTATTTTATAGTCATTTTGGAAATATAATCCATTCAATTCTTTTTCATTAGATTTGACTGTGTGGAGCACAACAAACTGTGGCTGACTCTAAGAAGAATGGGAATCCCAGAACACTTGATTGGGCTTATGCAAAGCTTATACTTGGACCAGGAGGCAGTAGTCAGAACAGAGCAAAGGAAACACTGCATGGTTCAAAACTGGGAAGGGTGTATACCAGAGATGTGTCTTATCTCCATAGCTTTTCAATATATATGCAGAACAGATCACTTGGGAAGCTGAGTTCTCTGAGGAGAAATGTGGCATCAGGTTTGGAGGAAAACTCATTGACAACCTGCATTATGAAAATGAAACAACCTTGCCTGCCAAATTGTGGAGGGCCTGAGGCATTTGTTGCAGATGGTCAAGGACTGCAGCCTTAAATATGGATTGAATCTCAAGATCAAGAACACCAAGACTCTCACCACTGGGCCAATTGGCAGCATTATGATAGACGCTGAAGAGACTGAGACCGTTAATAGCTTCAGTTTCCTTGACCCCACGATCAATATTCTTGGTTCCAGCAGCCCAGAAATCAAAAGACAAACTGCATTAGGAAAGTCTGCTGTCAGGGCCCTCTCCAGAGAACTGAACAGCAATGATATCAGTCTGAAGACTAAAGTGCGCCTGATCTAGGCCATGGTTTTTGTAATTACTTGCTATGTATTTGAAAGAAGGACAATGACTAGGGATGGCAGAAGGATAACTGATGTCTTTGAGCCATGGTGCTAGAGAAGAGTATTCAATGTACCATGGACTTCTAGGAGGACAAACAGGTTCGTTCTGGAGAGGGTGAAACCAGGCTGCTCCTTGGAGGCAAGGATTCGACTTTAGGCATGTTGCAAGGAGGGAACAGTCCTTGGAGGGAGACATCATGTTTGGGAGGGTGGCGGGACAGCACAAGAGGAAGACCCTCGACGAGATGGATTAACTCAGTGACTGGGGTATTGAGGGTAAGTGAGTTAGAGATGATAAGGTTGACTCAGAATTGAGCAGGGTTTGGAGGAGTTGGACCCAGGGTCACTATGAGTTGCAAGCAACTTGACAGCACATAACAACAACAACAACAAATCTACTGTTATATAGCCTTTTGTCCAGTTATTATCTACTTTAAAAAACGTACCTAAGGATAACATTATGTCACTTGTTCACAACTATGTAATTATATAGTGAACAGTAAATGGTATTTATTCTTCTTAGTGTACATATATTAACTAAGGTCTTTAAAATTTATACATCACCTTTTATTATTTTGAAAGTCTTTCAATTACAGATCTTTTTTATTGCTGCTGTGCCTCTAAAAAGTTAAAGGAACGTTTAAAGTTAAATATGCTACTTGCCATAGATACAGATATAGAGATATCAATATTTTCTCCATATTGTTCTTTGTTATTTCATGTCATTGTTCCATGACTATAAATGTCTTGAAATTTATAGCTTTTTCAGTCCCTCAGATGCTCAGAATAATGTAATTAAAATAGTTTATGGATTGAACAAAGAACATGGGTTTTGAGTAAACTTACCTCTTCTCTTCTCTCTTCTGCAGAAGGAGTTTTAAGTTCACGTGCTGTATCATCTTTGGGATCAAACAGATATATGTAATCTGAAGAGTAGCTAACAAGAATTTCTTGACCATCTTCACTATAACACAGTGATGTCACTCTGCAGGACTTATTATTAAGATGGGAAGGAATAAAACGAGCAACCATTCCAGTGGTCCCTCGACCGGCATAATTCCCTAAATAAGAAAATAGGAAGTTATTGAAAATGTGTAATATTTAAAAAAAAACTGTTTTAAAAACATTTCATTTGAATTAGAAGATAAACAATTAAATTTAGTAATAAAAATATATATACTCTATCATGTTCTATATCTAGAAGAGGTTCTTTAATATATAAAACAGCAACAACAATAAAAAAAGATAAAATATAAAGGTATCATTTCTGAACAAAATCATAAGTATCTGAATTATAGATCATAAAAGCATGTTGCTGGAAATAGCAATCCTTTAATACATCAAAATGATTTATGATCATTTTTGTTATTAACATCAAATTGGACTGAGTCAAAGTTGACCCTCCAGAGCAGGTTTTCAGAGGCTGTAAACGGCATGAGAGGAGACTGTTCATCTTTCTTTCATGGAACAGCTTGTGGTCTCAAATGGCAAGACCTAGGGTTGGAAGGGCAACTCCTTAACTACCAGAGCTGCTCTTCTGCTGATTAGACACATTCAATAACCTCCAGAAATTATCTTCAAATCAAGAGAGTATCATTTTTATGCTATAAATAGGAAGTCTGATATTAGCATACTAAATAAAACTGTGCACTAACCTTTTACGATTATTCATCTTTTCACTTTATTTTTTAGGTTTCTGATAGTCATTATATCTGTACACCATGATGAATATAGTGAAAGTGAGGATCTTATTACAGTTTCATTTAACCTCAGCCGCCTTTCCAGCCAGTTACTAGCAGTCACAACAATACAACACAGAAAGGCACAACTGGCACTTTGTGTCCCGGCTGTCCAGGAATGCCAAGTTTTAAGACTGATATAATCCTTCCCACAAAGAAGTCTTGTCTTGATAAAAATGTCAATTGTATCTCCATCTCTTAAGAAACAGCAGTTAAGCCTACAATCTCACTGGTGTTCCTTAAATATTGTTGTTATTGATTGCCGTCAAGTCGAGCATGACACGTAATGACTCTATGAACAAAAGGCCTGGAGCTTTTCTACAACTATGGTCATTTATCAAAGTTCATATAGTTTACAGAGGCACACTGTTTAGGAAGTGGATGCCACTCCTGCTTCTAAACCTGCCTTAAACTGAGAGCTCCACCAAACATTGTACAACATGGGTAACCATTATGAAATTTGACACTCAAATTTGACAGCACAAGGTTCAACATCACAGCAACCCCAGGTTACCTCAGTACAGCATATTGACAGAAGAGTGCTGTACCATTTAGAAGAATGCCCCTCTAAAATATAGTAACAACTGACTTAAATACAAAGGCCCTCCCCAAGATCTTGTTGACTCTAACCAAGAGCCTTAAATAAAAAAAAACAGCCAATACAATATGTTCCTTAAATAGAAACATTCAAACAGAACTTCTAAATCACAGTTAAAAAAAAATCCATCTGGCTTTCCTGTTCCAATGATTTATGGCAATTTTCAATAAAAATATTAATTACTGGCCAAAGCTGTATTTCTTTTTCATAATACCAAATGTAGATACTGTACATGTAAATATGTATATATGAATGAATTTATCATGTATATTAGTGAAGTCTGGTATCACTACTTGCCTTTGAATTGGTTACTGTAGAAGTAGTTTGATGTGACAACAGATCAAGAGAAAATGGATTACAGATCAAGCCCAAATGAGCAGAGAGAAATTCAGGACAATGGCATCATTAACTAAGCTACACAGGTAGACACATACACTATATATCAGGACACGCTCTAACCTTCCTTTCTATGCCTGAAAAAAGGCAAAGGAAAATTAGGAAAGACAAGTGCTATAATTTCTTAAAAGTCTAACTTAAATTGCAAAAGATCATATGTTTATAAAAATCCATTATTATTTAAACATATTGTATTTCCTGAATTTTATACTAAAGACATTTAAAAATTGTAAATATGCCACAAAGATTTAATTTTTAATATTATAAGAGTATTATATGTTTGTAGTAGAGATATATTCTCTCACCTGTAGCTCTGGTGCCTAGCATTCGTCGATCATATATTCTTACTGAGCTATCAGAACAACCAACAGCGAGATAATATGGAATTGGTGGACAAATAGCTACAGATGTGGCAGCACGTCGACAGTTAATTAAAATATCCTACAAAAAGATAAAATAATAGCAATTACACAGAACTACATCAGTAGGAATGACACTATACTTAAAATGTTTTCAATAAGGAGAAAAATACCTTTCTGAGAAATTTCAACACAGCATGAACATGTAGGCAGAGAGGGAAGATAATAGTTTTCTTTTTCAAGTTTCTCTCACAAATTGTTTCTAATACAGTCAGACTATACAGAACTAAAAATAAATACTCAGCTAATATTCCTCCTCAAAACATCATTACTCAAATGATTTTTTTATAGTTTTTACTATCAGACTCAAAAATTCCTGACACAATATTATGTACTTCTCTTAAGAACAAATTTCAAAACAAAATGTGTTTTGAACTACTCATTAAGCTTAATTGAGACTTTAATAAAAACAACAAACACTGGGATAGTGCAAAATGCATCTTAATGAACATTCAGATGAAATATTCTATAGACAATTCTGATTAAGCGAGAAAATACAGAACAGAATTTAAAATACAGAATCCAGACTTTATAAAGTCTAAACTCCTATATGATGTTTAAATTTTAAATCTGGAAACAAAAATATCCTTTATGGTTTACTAAGCAATGTATCTTAAATTATGGCTAACATTGAGAACAGTGGGAATCCCAGAATACTGACTGTGCTCATGTTAAACCTATACTTGGACCAGGAAGCAGTTGTCTGAACAGAGAAGAAACACTGTATAGTCCAAATTCAAGAAAAGAGTGTGTCAGGGAGGTGTCCTTTCTCCACATTTTTTCAAATGATACATAGAACAGATCATTCTGGAGGCTGGACTTTATAAGGAGGAGTGTGGCATCAGGATTGAAGGAAGACTCATTAACAACCTGCATCATGTAGATGACACAACCTTGCTCGCTGAAACTGAGAAGGACCTGAAGCATTTGCTGCAGAAAGTCAAGGACTGCAGCCTTAAATACAGACTGCAGCTCAATATCAAGAAAACAAAGATTGTCACCACCAGGCCTATTGGCAGCATCATGATAAACAGAGAAGACACTGAGGCTGTTAATAGTTTCAGATTGCTTGGTTCCACAGTCAACACTCTTTGCACTGGCAGTCAGGAAATCAAAAGATGAGTTGCACTTAGGAGGACCACTCCAGAGTGCTATAGAGCAACGATGTCAGGTTAATGACTAAGGTGCACCTGATCTAGTCTGTCGTCTTCTCGATTATTTGCTACGTATCAGAAAGCTAGACAGCGACCAAGGATTACAGAAAAAGGATCTATACCTTTGAGAAGGTATATGCCTGGAGAAGAGTATTGAACATATCATGGACTGCCAAGAGAATAAACATTTTTGTCCTAGAGTGGGTGAAAACAGATTGCTCCCTGCAGGCAAGCTTTTGAAACTCTGTCTTACATACTGTGGGCATGCTGCCAGAAAGGACTAGTCCTTGGACAAGGATATCATACTTGCAAGGATGGAGGGTCAGCACAGGAGAGGAAGATTCTGGGTGAAATGGATTGACCCAGTGATTGTGGTAATAAGGGCAGGAGTGTCAGAGACTTGTGAGATTGGCTTAAGATAGGGCAGGGTTCAGAGCTATTGTTCATAGGGTCACTATAAGTTGTAGTTGATTTAGTGGTATATAACAATAAGAAAGCTCTTAATATCCCACAGAGACTCCATGAAAAAATGATCAAAACCATGCCAACAGCCTGCACCATTATCAAGATTGCCAAAATACTGAAGGCCACTGCTAAGAGTAACTGGGCCAATTAATCTTCTTTGGGGTCTTCCTCTTTTTTACTCACTCTTTACTTTTCGCAGAATGGTGTATTTTTCCAAGGACAGGCATTGCCTGACAACATGTCCAAAAGTATAAGAGAAGTTTCACCATCCTTTCCTCAAAGTAGTTTAGCTTAGTCAGTGAAGATGTCTGCCTTGATTTTAAAAATTATATATATGGGTTAAAGTTGACAATATAGTTTAATTTACTAGTCAAGAATTGCACTGATTCTTTTTCTGTCAGCCTTATTCACTGTTTAGGTGTAAACACAGTAGTTTGAGTCAGGTGCACCTTAGTCTTTAAATTGATATCATTGCTCCTTTGTACTTTGGTGAGGTTCTTTCCCAATGCAAATTGTTGTGTTTTTTTTTAATTGATTTCAAGGATGTTAATTATGGGTCCAAGTTAAGATAATTGACAATTTCAATCTTTTCTCTATCTAGCATGCTGCTGCCCAGTGGTCAACTGGTAAAGTGTTCCATCTTCTTACTTTTGAGATATAATCCATATTAAGGACTGCAGTCTTTGATCTTCTGTAGGAGGCATTTCAAGTCCTCCTCAATTTCAGTAACCATGTTTATGTTACATACGTAATGCAGGTGGTTAATGAGTCTTCCTCTGATCCTTATACCATATTCTTCTTTATAAATTCCAATTTCTTGAATAATTGGCTCAGTATACAGATTGAATAGGTAACAAAAGAAGTGATGCCTTTGAGTTTGGGTGTTGCAAAAGAGTACAAAATATCCCATGGACTGCCAAAAGAACAAACATATATGTCTTGGAGAAAGTGCAACGAGAGTGCTCCTTAGACCAAGGATAATGAAGCTTCACCTCATATATTTTGGGCATGTTGTTAAGAGGGACCATTACTTGGAAAGGGACATCATACTTGGTAAGGTGGAGGGTCAGTGAAAGAAAGGCAGACCCTCAATAACATGGAATGACATGGTGACTTAACTGCAAAAGGGGACTCAAGAGTGTCAGAGATGATGATAATGACATAAGACAGGACCAGGTTTAGATTAGTTGTTCACAGGGTCACTATGAGCCCTAATTGACTTGATGGCACCTAGTAACAACAAAGAGTAGAGTATCTTAAACAGAAATGAATGCCTGCCTTAACTATTACGCTCTTTTAAAAACAAAATATACAGTATCAAATTGAAATGGCAACTTTGTCAAATGATTCAGATGGGAAAGTCAAGGGACAGTTAAGTTTATGTTCATAGGAGGGAAAATTTGGAAAAGAGGGTGAGAATGACTGTACAACTGAAGACTGTCAAAAGAAACTGTTGAATTTTCTATGTCCTATTGTGTATCTTCTCAAGATTTTAAAAGGAAAAAGTTATTCTAAGATTTTAAAAGAGATAGATCAGCAGCAGCCACAAAAAAGCTGATAATAAGTTATGCTGATGGTCAACAATAAATTGTATTGTTCTTGTTAATCACTGCAAAGTTGGCTTCTACTTTATGGTCACCGCTTACAAAACACTATCTTGTTTTGTACCATCCCTTTAACAGTTGTGGATTGGAACACTGTTATTCATAGGGCTTTGTCTGGCTCATTTTCAGAGCAGATTGCAAGGTCTTTATTCTTATTCTAAGTCTGGAAACTACTGAAACTTTTTCTGCACCCAGTAACGCATGAGCCTCTAGTGACAGGCAGGTGGTAGCAGTGCATCAAGCCAAAAAATCAAGCCATGGGCCCGCTATGGATGGTAAGAATGCTGGCGAGTCACTACTGCCTCCATTACTTATACTAACATAGTCTAATCTCATGTTACAAACTGTTGTGTTTGTTGTTAGATGGAATCAGGACAACTAGTGACCATCTGAACCTCGTCCTATCCTGTGCCATCCTCAAAATCTCTGATACAGTCCAGCCCCTGGTCACAGTCATAGTGTCAATCCACCCCCTTCGGGGCCTTCCTCTCTTTAAGTGACCTCTACCTTTCCCAGCATGGTATCTTTTTTCAAGCAATAGCCTCTCCTAATGACATGCACAGATCATGTGAGATAAAATTTCACCATCCCTGGCTCGTAAGAAACACCCCAGCTGCTCTTCTTCTAAAATAGATTTGTCTGATCTTCTGGCAGTTAATGGGATGTTCAATACTCTTCTCCAACATCACAATTTCAAGCCATCAGTTCTTTTTTAGTCTTCTTTATATACCATAGTTTCAATCAAGTATGCCTCAGTCTTTAAACTGACAGCACTGGTTTTTAACACTTTGGAAAGGTCCTCGACAGTAGATTTTCCCAAATCAATAACTTCAATTCCCTCCTCCACCTCCCTATCCCGGTATCTTGATGCTGCCTATTTATCCAAGGGTGAGGATTTTTGTTTTCTTGATGTTGAGACATAATTCATACTGAAGTTTGTAGTCTTTGATCTTTGGTTGCAATTACTTCAAATGCTCTTCATTTTTTGCAAGGAAGGTTGTGTCAACTACATAATAAAGGCTGTTGATGAGTCCTCTTCCAATTCTGAGGCTACATTCTTCTTCAATGATTTACTCAGCATTAAGACTGAAGAGTTATAGAAAAATGCTACAGCCCTCACACATACTTTTCCTGATTTTAAACCATGAAGCATTGCCTTTTATGTTCTAGCAATAGCTTCCTGGTCTGTGTACTGGTTCCACATGCACACAATTAAGTGTTCTGGGATTCCCATTTTTCTCAGTGTCAGCCATAAATTGTTACAGTACACACAGCTAAGTGTAATACTAGATAATGATTTAAAGTTTTTCATAAATATATCTTAAAATGTATAAATACAAGCTCATTAACATCAATGTTAATACTGAAACTTTTTAATAGATTTAAAATGTGTTAACTGAACATTTTAGCAAAAATATTAAACAATATTAAAAATATTAAACAATAACCCATAAAACAACTTACTATCAAATTTTAGTTACAATTTTAATTACTTCTAGATTACTTGAAGAAAAACTTTGATTCTTACGTCTTTACAATCTTCTTTTGTGCAGCTAGTTTTGATGCGGGTATCAAACCATCTAACAGTTCCATCTTCACCACAAGAGAGAAAAGTGTAAGGATCATTTGGTACAGTCATAATCTAAAGATGAAAAACATAAGTATGATCAAGCTGTTGAATATTTAAATAAAGTTTTAAAAAATACTGTTTCTATTTTACAAAATTATTAAGGTAAAAGCAACTAAGATTAATTTTTAAATGATTTATGGCTACAGCATAATCATTGCTTTCATAGTTAAAAGGACAGTTTAGAGATTAATCCTGAAGTACAATGCTTTGGCGATAGGATACTATCCATACACAAACTAGGAAAGTCCATTAATACGACTATTATTCAAGTATATACACAACAACTAAAGCAAAGAGGAGGAGTTAGATTCTACCAACTTTTGCACTTCAAAATTAACCTAATATGCAATCAAAATGCATTAATAATTACTGGCGACTGGCATGCAAAAGTTGGAAACAATGAGAAAGGAATGGTAGTAGGAAAGTATGGACTTGATGACAGAAATGAGGTTGGAGATAAAATGACTGAATTTTGTGTGCTCAGTGATTTATTCATAGCAAACACCCTTTTTAAAAAAACACCAACAGTGACTCTATACATGGATTTCACCTGATGGACTGCACAGGAACCAGACTGACTATATTTGCAGAAAGAATCACTGGAGAAGAACAATCTCTGCAGTGAAACCATACCAGATGCTGATTGTCGAAGTGATCTACTCATGTGCAAGTTTAAATGGAAATTGAAAAAAAAATGAGAACTACTCCAGAAGAGCCAAAATATGACCTTGAGTTTATCCCAATTGAATTTAAGAATCATCTCAGTAAGAGGTTTGAGGCACTGAACACCAAAGATCCTAGATCTGAGGAACCACAGAAGGATATCAAAGATCTCACCCATGAAAAGAGCCAAGTATCATTACAAAGAAGGAGGAAGAAGAAAAAACTAAAACAGATGTCAGAAGAGATTATGGCAACTTCATTAGAGCATCAAGAAGAGAACAAAAGATAAGCCGAAGCAAAAGAATGGAATAGGAGACTTCAAAGGGCAGCTCAAGAGAATAAAACAAAATATTATCATGAAATATGCAAAGAGCTGGAGTCAGAAAATAAAAATGGAAGAACTCACTCAGCATTTCTCAAGCTCAAAGAACTGAAAAACAAATTTAAGCCTCAAATTGCAATACTCAAAGATGCTATGGATGAGCATAATCTTGAATGATCATCAAAAGAAGACAGAAGGAATACACACAATCACTGTAACAAAAAGAATTGGTTGACCTGAAAAAAAATGTCAGGAAGTATCATATGAACAAGAGCCAATGGATATGAAAGATGAAGTCCAAGCAGGACTGAAGGTATTGGCAAAAAATAAGGCCCTAGGAATCTAGGAAAATCGACTGACATGTTTGAACTAATAGATGCAGCCCTGGATGTGTTCATCATTTTATGCCAGGAAATTTGAAGGACAGTTACCTGGCTGATTGACTGGAAGAAATCCATATTTTTCCCCATTTCCAAGAAAGGTGATTTAATAGAATGTGAAAACTATTGAACAATATCATTAATATCTCATGCAAGCAAAATATTGTTGCAGATCATTCAAATGTGGCTAGAACATGAGTGTGAGGATCCAAGGAGGGGGAGGGTGGAAGCAGACGGGGGAGGATGGGTGTGGAGGGGGGCATTAATCATAGGGTCATACAATCTGATGAGGGGTGTGTGCAAAGGAAATGGAAAAGAGCTGGTGAGAAAAACAAAGTATTTGAACTTCGTAAATAAACCAGTATAAAATAAAACTGTAAATAAATAAATAATAAAAAGGCCACTAATTGATTGTAAATGCTAAAATAAAAAAAAGTGTACACACTGACAGGAAACTAGGAGAAGTAGGTTTTATAAGACACGATGATACCCAGGGTATCACTGCTGATATCAGATGAATCCTAGCTGAAAGCAAAGGATACCAGAGGAACGTATACTTGTGCTTTACTGACTATTCAAAGGCATTCACATTCACATGGATCATAACAAATTATGGCTCATAATGAGATGAATGGGAATCTCAGAACACTCATACGGAATCTACACCCAGAGCAAAAAGCTGTTGTGTGAACAGAGCAATGTACCCTGCATGGTTTGAGATCTGGAAGGGTGTGTGTTCAGTGTTATATCCTTTCTCCATACCCATTCAATCTTTATGGTAAGAAAATAATTCATGAAGCTGGACTCTATAAAAAAGAGTGTGGCATCAGGAATGGAGGAAGACTCATCAACAACTTTTGTTATGCTGATGACATAACTTGGCTTTCTGAAAGTGAGGATATGAAATGCTTGCTGCAGAAGGCCAAGGACTACAGCCTTCAATATGGATTGTATCTCAACATCAAGAAGACAAAAATCCTCACCACAGGTCCAACAGTGGTCTTTAGGATAGATGGAGAAGAGACTGCAGCTGTTAATGATTTCCTCTTGCTTGGGCCAACAGTCAACACCCTTGGTACTAGCAATCAGGAAATCATTGGGCAAGTCTGTTGTCAGGGATCTCTCCAAACACTGAAGAGTAAATGATACCAGGATGAGGGCTAGAATGTGCCTGAGTCAGGCCATGGTCTTCTCAATCACCTGCTATGCATCAGAGAGCTGGACAATGAATAAGGATGACAGAAGAAGAAATGATGCCTTTGAGTTATGGTGCTAGAGAAGAGTAATGAATATCCTATGGACCACCAAAAGAACAAATAGATGTGTCCTGGAAAGAGTGGGGCTATAGTGGTTCTTGGAAACAAGGATGATGAGCTTCATCTTTCATATTTTGGACATGTAGGTAGGCGAATGTCCTTTGAAAAGGGACATCATGCTTGGAAAGATGGAAAGTCAGCGAAGGAGAGGACTCAAAGAGATGGACTGACACTGTGACTTCAGCAATGAATGGACTCTAATGTCTCAGAGACGGGCAAGTTTCAGGCTGGTGATTCATGGTCTCCGAATCATATGTGATTCAACGGCAACTAACAAGAACAGCACACTGGTGGCCTATTGAGTGGGAAGATGCTGCACTGCAATCCTGAAGGCAGGTGGTTTGAATCCACAAGCTTCTCCATGTGAGAAGGATGGGCAATCTTCTCCCTTTACATTGACTACCTAGAGGATCCATGATGGGGTGGTTCTGATTCAATGGCACACAACAACAAAATGGAAGACTGGATTAAGTGTTTGGCTGCTAATTAAAATGTTCTAACCCACTAACTGTTATACTGGGGGAATAAATGAAATAGTTTGTTCCCACAAAGATTTAAAGCATCAGAAACCTTACGGGCTACTTTATTTTGTCCTATACGGTCACTATAAAGAGTTGGAATCAGCTTAAAAACAATGTTCATTACTGTTGTTCACTACTATCAGGTTAGAATGACTCACGGCTGATCCTCTAGTGGGCTTTCAGAGACCGTAAACTGCACAAGATGAAACTACCTTTCTCCCTTGGAATAGTTGGTGGGTTCAAATCTCCCGACTTTGAGTTGGCAGGGGAACTCCTTACCCACTAGGCAATTGTTCCTGTTGTTGTTAGGTGCCATCAAGTCTAGTACAACTCATAGAGACCCTATAAACAGTGGAACTGAAGCTTGTCCTATACTGTGCCATCTTCACACTTCCTGACACATTAGAGCCTGTTGTGATAGCTACTATGTCAATCCACCTGGTCAAGGGTCTTCCTCTCCTTTGCTGACTCTCCAACCTTCCAAGCATCATGTCCTCCTCCAAGGGATAGTCCCTCCTAGCAACATGCCCAAAGTATGTAAAGCGAAGTCTCATCATCCTTGACTCCTAAGAGCACTCTGCATGTTCTCCGAGATGTTCAGTGCTCTTCTCCAACACCACAACTCAAAGGTATCAAGCCTTCTTCTGTCATCCCTTTTCACTGCCCAGCTCTCAGATGTATAGCACGTGAAAGACCATGGCCTGAATCAGATAGCCTTAGTCATCAAACTGACATCACTCCTCAACAATCTGGGGAGGTCCCTAACTGCAGATTTTCCCAATGCAATATGTCTCTTGATTATCTGACTGATAGTACCTAGGGTATTAATTGTTTATCCAAGTTAGATGAAGTTGTTGACAGTTTTAGTGTCTTCTCCATCCAATATGATATTGCCTATTGGTCCAGTGCTAAGATTTTTTGTTTTCTTGATATTGAGATGCAATCCATATGGAAGACTGCATTCCTTGATCTTCTGCAACAAGTGCTTCAAGTTCTCCTTACTTTCAGCAAACAAGGTTGTGACTTCTGCATAAAGCAGGTTTACTGATGTCTCCCTCCAATTCTGATGCCACATTCCTCTTCATAGAGTAAAGCTTTTTGAATAATTTGCTCAACATGCAGATTGAATATGTTTGGAGAGAGAATACGACCCTGACACACACCCTTCTTTAAATTTTAAACTGTAGAGTCATTCCAGTTCACTAAGGTTACTAGTGCTCTTGGAGTACATGCAAAAGGACTTGGCTGCCATGCCTGAAAGCAGATGAAGAGTACCAAGAATGGATGGGGAAAAAAGCAGTCTCTGACTTCCTAGATGGAGCATGCACCACAATAAAAGGGATCTGGAAGGTCTCTGTTAAACAAAGGTTTTTGTTACATTCTTGACAAGGGTGTTAAGAGTGCAGTAAGACCTTGTTCATGAGTACAAAGACACTTTCTTGAAAACTGTTCCTGCCTGTCTATGATTTGTCCCTCATTACTTATGCTTTGTTCCATATGTTTAAATATTTACCCACCCTATGAAATTATGTTTTGCTGTATTCTTTGATTTTCTGTTAATAAAAGGAGGGTTCTGAAGTTGTTTGGCAGTTAGCCTGAGCGAGCTTTATGCCCTCTGGAAAATTTACATTTCACTTTGCTAGTCTTCCTTAGGCTCTACTCATGAGAAACAACATAAACCCCTGTTCTGTTCACACAACAGCCTCCTAATACATATAAGTTCTGCATGAGCACAATTAAGTGCTCTGGGAATCCCGTTTTACTCACTGTCAGCACAACTCATTATGAATTATTATTATTAGCCCACTAG